TTTGAACCACGCTAAGGAATTTGTTAATTGTCTGGCAGATAGATGCCCTGTCTAAAGAGATTTAAGGAAGTCTCAGTCTGTCTTTCTTTAAGATCCTCCCTATACAATTCATGTAAAACTTTTAGAGTGGCCAGTTGTTTTAGTTTGGATCTTTATCTAAGTTTGTCTTAACGTAAAGATTAGCCTGTGTACTATTGTGCTAATTTAAAATTCTATTTCAACACTACTATCCAGTAGCTTGCCACCATCAATGAATGAATGTAGTCTGAGGCACTTTGGGGTCCTCTGGACTAGATAAAGTGCTAAACAAAGTCATTTACAGTGAACCAAAGTGGAAAGAATAGATGTTAAAGGCATCCTGGATGATGCTGCATCATGTTTAATATGATCAGGTTGAGTTGGGCCTCCTTGATTAGCTGCTATCATTAAAAACTTTCGTCTTCTTAAAGTAAAATAATTAGTCTGTACTGTAGCTCTCTCTGATTGGTTCTCTGTTCCATGTTACAGGAATAACTACACTGTGCAATCCCTCTCATTCATAATGATTTAATCTTATTTCACATGAAACCAGTTGGACATTCTTTTGTTGTTCCTAACTTGTTGTCATTTATCTGAAAGTCTTCCTCAGTTGTAGTGATGAAGAGTTTCAGTTATTCTCAGCTCTAGTTTGAACAATCACAAATAACCAGTGATTTGGGGTTGTTTCATTACATGAGTTTAAAGGTGCAGGAGTTTCTTCTTAAATATATAATTGGAATAAAAATATTTGAGATTCAGACAACATTGCAGAACTGAACAAACTAACTCTGGTCTGAATGCTTCACTACATCTACACTGTGTGCACAATTATTAAGCAAGTTTTAGTTTTGACCATAACATTTTTATGGACATTTTTCAACTCCTAGCAGTATACATGGAATGATTGTTGAATATCAGCTGATGTGCATTTGTGTAATGAGGAAGGGTGGGGCCTGAGGTAATTAACACGCTAAATCACCATTTCTCAATTCCAGTCAAGGCCCCCTTGCCTTGGACGTTTTGGACAATTTCCCTTCTGCCACACTTCACGTGAGATGCCAGCAAAGTGGAGGTGGGATACTAGTATGGGCTGGTTTTATTAACATGAGCTAGTTGGGCCTTTTTGGGTAGAAGATGGACTCAAAATCAACTCCTAAAACTAATGCCAATTTTTAAAAGACAGTTTCTTCACACAGTGGTGCAGGAACAAGTTTGCATCTTTCAAGAAGACCATGAGTTTTATCCAGGACAATACTCCATAGCCTGCATCAAAGTACTCCACTATATGTCTAGCCAGGAAAGACCTTAAAGATGAAAGAATAATGAAGTGGTGCCCTTCCTCACTGGACCTAAACCCCATTGACAACACCTTCATATCTTCATGGGTGCTGCTGCTGCTGCTGCTGCTGCTGCTGCTGCTGATGATGATCTGCTGCTTCCTGGCTCCATGTCAGACTAATGGTGGACACATTTCCACAACCCACTGTGAAATACTTAGTAAAACAGTGTGGTCCATCAGGACTTGGTTCCTGTGTGCATTGTGAGAGCAGTTCAGCAGGGAAAGAAAGCTTCATAATGAGGTTGGTGAGATCTGCTGGAACTCAACAAAGCTGAGCCGGTGTGGACCATCAGAGGATCTTCTAAATCTTAGATGATTGTCTGTTTTTCTACATTAAGGACTTTTAATGTGAAATCTCTGTGATTCAATCTGTGAATATTGATGAATGAATGTTTTATGACTTCCTAATTGTTCCTGGTTCCTCCACAGAGTGGATCAGCAGAGCTCAGAGGTTCCCAGTGGTCCATCTGCCCAAAAGCATCAAACACAGCTGGACTCCATATTTATGGTTTGTAAATGAACAACTACTTTTCCATTAGTTCTGTTCAAAGTTACCTTCATGCTGCACTTTATAGACCAGAGGACTGTCAGTCTGTCCAACATCCATCTGCTGTTTGGCTCCATGATTTCACTCTGATGTTTCCTTCAGCTGTTATTCTGTTCCAGCTGCTGGAGGAAAACATTGTCAGTTTTGTGAAGAAAGAACTGAAGAAGATCCAGAAAGTTCTGAGTCCAGATTACCCAGAACATTCAGAGAGTCAGAGAGATGATGATGATGAGGTGTTGGAAGGTGAGGAAGAAGAACAGAGGAGGAACAACAGAGACGCAGTGACGAAGATCACACTGAACTTCCTGAGGATGATGAAGCAGGAGGAGCTGGCTGACCGTCTGCAGAGCAGTAAGAGGATTTCTAAAAAGATTTAACCAGATGGATAAATTACACATTTACTGATGTCCGAAGTGATGTAATGAATTTCAGAAGACATTATTTTCATTCATATATGATTTTGTTATTGTGTTAATTTAGGACATTTTGCTGCAGTTTGTCAACATCAACTTAAATCTGGTCTGAAGAAGAAGTTCCAGTCTGTGTTTGAGGGGATTGCTAAAGCAGGAAGTCCAACCCTTCTGAACCAGATCTACACAGAGCTCTACATCACAGAGGGAGGGACTGGAGAAATCAATGATGAACATGAGGTCAGACAGATTGAAACAGCATCCAGGAAACTACACAGACCAGAAACAACAATCAGACAAGAAGACATCTTTAAAGTCCCACCTGGAAGAGATCAACCAATCAGAACAGTGATGACAAAGGGAGTGGCTGGCATTGGGAAAACAGTCCTAACACAGAAGTTCACTCTGGACTGGGCTGAAGACAAAGCCCACCAGAACATCCAGTTCATATTTCCATTCACCTTCAGAGAGCTGAATGTGCTGAAAGAGAAAAGGTTCAGCTTGGTGGAACTTGTTCATCATTTCTTTAGTGAAACCAAAGAAATCTGCAGCTTTGAACACTTCCAGGTTCTGTTCATCTTTGATGGCTTGGATGAGAGTCGACTTCCACTGGACTTCCACAACAAGGAGATCCTGACTGATGCTACAGAGTCCACCTCAGTGGATGTTCTGCTGACAAACCTCATCAGGGGGAAACTGCTTCCCTCTGCTCTCCTCTGGATAACCACACGACCTGCAGCAGCCAATCAGATCCCTCCTCAGTGTGTTGGCATGGTGACAGAGGTCAGAGGGTTCAATGACCCTCAGAAGGAGGAGTACTTCAGGAAGAGATTCAGAGATGAGGAGCAGGCCAGCAGGATCATCTCCCACATGAAGACATCACGAAGCCTCCACATCATGTGCCACATCCCAGTCTTCTGCTGGATCACTGCTACAGTTCTGGAGGATGTGTTGGAGACCAGAGAGGGAGGAGAGCTGCCCAGAACCCTGACTGAGATGTACATCCACTTCCTGGTGGTTCAGACCAAAGTGAAGAAGGTCAAGTATGATGGAGGAGCTGAAACTGATCCACACTGGAGTCGAACCAGTAGGACAATGATCAAGTCTCTGGAAAACTGGCTTTTGATCAGCTGCAGAAAGGAATCCTGATCTTCTATGAATCAGACCTGACAGAGTGTGGCATTGATATCAGAGCAGCCTCAGTGTACTCAGGAGTGTTCACACAGATCTTTAAAGAGGAGAGAGGTCTGTGCCAGGACAAGATGTTCTGCTTCATCCATCTGAGTGTTCAGGAGTTTCTGGCTGCTCTTCATGTTCATCTGACCTTCATCAACTCTGGAGTCAACCTGATGGAAGAAACACAAACATCTAAGAAATCTTCACGATTTAATAAACCTGAACTAAAGTCTCTCCATCAGAGAGCTGTTGACCAGGCCTTACAGAGTCCAAATGGACACCTGGACTTGTTCCTCCGTTTCCTCCAGGGACTTTCACTACAGACCAATCAGAGACTCCTACAAGGTCTGCTGTCAAAGACAGGAAGTAGCTCAAAGGCCATTCAGAAAACAGTTCAGTACATCAAGAAGAAGATCAGTGAGAATGTGTCTGCAGAGAAAAGCATCAATCTGTTCCACTGTCTGAATGAACTGAATGATCGTTCTCTAGTGGAGGAGATCCAACAGTCTCTGAGTTCAGGAAGTCTCTCCACAGATAAACTGTCTCCTGCTCAGTGGTCAGCTCTGGGTTTCATCTTAGTGTCATCAGGAAAAGATCTGGATGTGTTTGACCTGAAGAAATACTCTGCTTCAGAGGAGGTTCTTCTGAGGCTGCTGCCAGTGGTTAAAGCCTCCAACAAAGCTCTGTAAGGACACAGATAGTTATTGCAGTTATTTTTGATCGATGAAAATCTGCTAATCATGTTTCAGTTTATATATTGGTCCATTGTCAAAGTGTACAACCAGGGTTGGTTGTATGCAAATAAGAAATGCTCTTCCTTCATCAGCTCAACAGAATGCTACATATTCAAGCAGCATAACTCTTCCACCTCATGTCAAAATTGAAATTGGATTAGTAAAGTTAATTGTGAAATTTTATAATTCTCTTTCCAACTTCCTTGTTACCTGTAGTTCTGTCCTTTAATACTGGTTCATACTATAGAATGAACCAGTTCACAACAAATACACAGTTTGTGTAAAATAGAATTGTGCCTTGTCAGTCAAATAAAAACATTGTTGATCTGAAAGAACATCAATTTTGAGCAGTTGTTTAATTTTCCTCCTTGTCTCCTCAGACTGAGTTACTGTAACCTCTCAGAGAGAAGCTGTGAAGCTCTGTCCTCAGTTCTCAGCTCCCAGTCCTCCAGTCTCAGAGAACTGGACCTGAGTAACAACAACCTGCAGGATTCAGGAGTGAAGCTTCTCTCTGCTGGACTGAAGAGTCCAAACTGCTGCAACCTGGAAACTCTCAGGTAACTCTGGGCCATCCGTCCGTTCAGACCTTGGTTTCTACCTCAATCTTCTCATTTTCTCATCATGTGATGAATTGTGTGTCTGCAGCTTATCAGGCTGTTTGGTCTCAGAGGAAGGCTGTGCTTCTCTGGCCTCAGCTCTGACCTCCAACCCCTCCCATCTGAAAGAGTTGGACCTGAGCTACAATCATCCAGGAGACTCAGGAGTGAAGCTGCTGTTGGCTGGACTGAAGGATCCACACTGGAGACTGGAAGCTCTCAGGTATGGAGGAACCTGCTGCAGGAGCAGAGAAGGTCTGATAGAGGAGGAAGAGGGAGAAATGTCTTTAGTCAGTCTGCTGGCAAACATTTAGTTATTTAGACCCCTCATCTGGAGGCAGAGATCATTACCCTTTTTTAAATATTCTCCTGACCAAGAACGGCTCAAAAGAAAATTTAAGAGTGGGATGGGTTTACTAATTTAATAGGGACTCTGACTATTAAACTAGTTTAGTTAGATTTCCATTATGATCTACAATATTTGATGTGTCATGGAAAAAGCAGTATTTCTAAGCACTGACTAGGAAAAATCACTCAGTCATGTTTACTTATAAATTGTGCACAACTCAGAGAGCTCATAGGACAATCAGTAATGAAGCAAGTCTCGATGCAGAAACTACACGTAAGTTTTATACAAAGATAAAGGATCCAAAGCATAGGAAACAGTTGTGGCTCCCATGCAGCCGTGGGAAACAACTTCCAACCTTATACATATAACCCAAATAGCATAATCATGGTGGAACCATACAAGAATACGAAACATATAACAATACGACTAGCAGATGTGACCTCATTCAAATGTTTCCACAACAAATGATTCCAATTTGGCATGATTACTGCTTCCTAAAATGATTATTTTTATGGGACATTATGTACAATTCTAACAGTGTCTGAGAGACATGTAATGTCCATGTTTGCTGCTGAAAGAGACTGATGGTCTGACCCCCCTCCTCCTTTCAGGGTGGAGCCTGCTGGAGGCCGATTCTTGACTCCAGGTCTGAGGAAATGTAAGTGTGTTTTTCATCTGATTCATGACAACAAAGCAGCTCACATTCAACCATCTTCAAACTGTCACATCACTCATTCAGGAGTCAAAGTGTCAATAAATGATCAATAACTGCAGCTGGATTGTGTTTGTTCTCTTCATCAGATTCCTGTCAACTCACCATCGACACAAACACAGTGAACAGAAAACTCAAACTGTCTAAAGACAACAGGAAGGTGACACGTGTGGAGGAGCTTCAGTCATATCGTGATCATCCAGACAGATTTGATCTTCCTCAGCTGCTGTGTAGAACTGGTCTGACTGGTCGCTGTTACTGGGAGGTTGAGTGGAGAGGATATGTTGATATATCAGTGAGTTACAGAAGAATCAGGAGGAAAGGAATCAGTGGAGACTCTTTGTTTGGATGGAATGATCATTCCTGGAGTCTGAGATGCTCTGATGATGGTTACTCTGTCAGACACAATTACAGACAAACTCGTCTCTCCTCGTCCTCTGACTCTAACAGAGTAGCAGTGTATGTGGACTGTCCTGCTGGCATTCTGTCCTTCTACAGAGTCTCCTCTGACTCACTGATCCTCCTCCACACCTTCAACACCACATTCACTGAACCTCTGATTCCTGGATTTGGATTCCGGTTCAGTTCTGGTTCTTCAGCGTTTCTGTGTTGAGTTGAATCTAAAGAGTCTAAAGTTTTTCCTCCTGTCAGAGAAACTCTCTCACTGTTGAACAGATAGTTGAGTCTCTACAATCTATTTCTTGGTGAAACGATTCTGATTGAATCCTTGGAAACTTTTTCTTCTTCCAGTCCCTTAAAGATGGAAGCTGGGATTATTCAATACATTCTCACTCTTGACTTGTCATATATTGATGCTTTCCCTCAGTGTCACATGTTGATGGTTTGGGTACCCCTTTGCGTCAATAATTGATGAGAAGGGTCCTCCAATTGAACGCTGTACTGCTTATGGTTAGGGTTAGGGTTAGCATTCAGTGACAGAACCCTTCTCGTCAGTTATTGATGCGAAGGGGTACCTGAAGCGTCAACATGTAACGCTGAGGAAAAGTGTCTATATAATTAGTCGGGAGTGAGAATGGGTTGGATTATTCCAGGATCCTCATGTTTTTAAGTTTTTTTTCCCCATTCAAAATTTCACTCTGAATATCAAGATGTTGTTTCTCTTTATTTTTCCTTTCATTTATCAGATTTCATTGAAATATTAATCAGTTTTTCTCAATCTGATCATTTTCTGTTTCTATCGGCTCCTATTTTTCTCAACATGTCAGATTTGAATATTAAATCTTCCTTTTGTAAATGTGCTGAAGTTTTTCTTTGTGTTTTACATAAAAACATTTTTCTTCTGCATTTGGTTCATTTGCTGCTCATTCTGTTCTTTTCCTGTTCAAATTTAAATATTTGCATGAAAAATATTTTTCCATCAACTCTGCCTTTCGGAAAGTCCTAGTTAAAGTAACACATTACCATCTCATGAAGGTCAGAGGTCAATGGTTTGAAGCATAAAGTAGGAAAATCTTAATATTTTCTGTCTCATTCAGAAATTCCACCTGAAACTCAGAACCTGCAGAACATTTTTCTGTTTGGAGAAAAAATCCCAGGAACTGGAAGATCAGAGCAGAATGAAAACTGGATATCAGTGTTGGACAGAAAAGGTCTGATTGCTGCATCTCTGCTATATTTTACATCTGATAATAGAAAGTAAACCTGTTATTAGCTGAGAATAAATCAACATGGATACGACCCGCCACAGCGCCAACGTGGGCCACACCTGATTCAACCCAAAGTGGAAAATAAAGGATTTCATTGGAAATCCCAAAACACAGTAAAATCAGCAGCTTTTTGTGATTAAAATGCAGTTTGTTGCAGAGGTTCAAACTTCCTGATGGTGACCTCTCCTCCGTCCCTCACCTTGTCTGGCTGCTTTTAATCCTCACTGCAGTGTTAGACTGGAGCTAATCTCTCAGATTAAACAGATTAACACTGAGCTGCAACAGGAACCAAACGTCTCTCCTCCAACTTATTTCACCAATTAATAACAAGTGGATAAAAACGCCGAGCTTAAAATTCCTTAAAGCAGGGGTCACCAACCTGGTGCCCGCGGAGCCACTTCTAAAAATAGCCATTATCATTAGGAAGAACTACCAAAAATAATTTAATTAAATGGTTTTACATTGAAGTAATGATGTTTGTTTATATTTAGAGTTCAAAAGAGGGAAATGATAAAAACATTTAAAATAAATTGCTTTATGTATAAAAACTCTTTCCTGATGTTAATGTTCAGAAATACATGCAGGTGCCTGCAGGAAACTGCCGGAGCGCAGCAGCGTCTGCAGCAGCGTCTGCAGCAGCGTCTGCAGCAGCGCCTGCAGCTGCACTCTGCGTACCTTGACATTTTCCTTTAAGTGAAGAAAGAGAAGAATAACTTATGGAGTTTTTATAATTTAATCCTGTTTACTATTAACATAATTGTGAAGAATAAATAAATTATGCGAAAACATCTTATTCGTAGCGCACATCTGGGAATCAACACCCTCCTCTTTCTGTGATGAGGAGGCTTCGCTTCCATGTCTTTATTATTTAGCATCGTCTGGGAAAAAGTCCGCTGCTCTTGGTTTAGGCTTGTGTTGATTTTTGCGCATTGGAGAGGTGCTTGTGCTCTTGCAGTCAGGTGCAGTGATAGTTTTGTGTCGGACCTTTATTTTTCCCACATCTGCTGGTGTCAGCCAGCGGGTGACCCGTTAGCTGTTCAGTTTGCGAAACTATGAACAAAGCGAATAAACTGGCGATCCGCCAGAACCGCGCAGACTGTCAAAGCTCAGGCTGATCTTAGAACAGCAGGAGGTTCAAACCCAACTCGTTCATTTTTAGCTTGCAGAAAAACGCAAAGCCGTGAAATAAATAAAAGCAAACTGACCAATAAGACTGAGGCTTTGGGGATCCCCACCTCAATCCTCAGACTGACAGCTGTGTGTGTATAATATGTTTTGACACAACAGATATTTTATTTTCCACAATTTTGCTAATAGAACAGATGGTTAGATAATAAAACTATAACTCTTCTTTTTTTATTCAAAGGAAAATTTCAAGGTACTCAGTGCTGTACAACTGCAGGTGTTACTGCAACAATCCATCAGTTTGCTTTGGTTTATTTCAGTCACTTGTGGCCAGTTCAGAATCACAAAGAAAAACTCCAAAAGGGAATCAAACTTAAAACTCTGTGAGCAAAAAACTTCTGATCACATAATAGCAATTAATTATAGCTGCCATGGTAAATTACTACTGATAACTATTGTTAGTGGTCCTGACATTAATATGATCAGACAGTATTATTATATATATAAAGACTATATCAAACAAGTAGCCCTTCATGTGAAGTAGCTCCCAGTCTCAAAAAGGTAGGTGACCCCGCCTTAAAGAGTCATGAAGAAAGACTCACCCTGTAATTTTGTAAATATATTCTAACAAGTGATTTAATTATCTGGTTTTGTATCTTTTAATGTATAAAAAAGGTATAAATGGTTAAATAAAAAAATCTTCATAATCCTAACCCCAACCTAACCCTAACCCTAATCCTAATCCTAACCCTACTAATCCTAACCCAATAATTCTTTGTTGGTCCACCGCTATGCTGTACTGAGTAGGAAGATTTAAAACAGTTTTAATGTAACTTTCTCTATGTCCTAACATGAGATAATCTGAGAGAACAAATGGACTTCCTCTGCTTCCTCCCTGTTCTGCTGAATTACTCTACTGGGTCAGAACCAAACCATCAGAACCAGAACAATCAGCCATGAGCTGAAAGTATTGAACATGTTTTTGTCTAAATTAGGTGATTTTATGGCTCCATTTTGCCAGATCACATAGTAGCATTTCTACCTAAAGCGAAACATTAACAGCCAATCCATGTGATCGATATCTGTGATCAGCAGTGATCAGACCTCATGGTGATCAGAACTGGCAGGAAAAACCCTGATGGGAGCGTCTCTACCCAGGAGTAATATGATGGTTTAGAGTTCATTGAAATCTTTTCCTTTTTGAAAGAAGCAACATTTGGGGAACTTGTGAATGATTACATTATTACATTACATTATTGATTATTGATTACATTATTGATCATACTTGGTTCTGCTTCAAATAATTACATTAAACTGAATTATTATGTTGTCATTATTGTTCTTACATTGGGGAGATTGAACATTTCTGTTTTTATTAAGTTTTTTAATTAAAACTTTAAAAAGTTCAGAAAATCAAATCAATCAACTGAACATTCAGATTTTATGCGGATCTGATTGAAATGTTTGTTACAAAGTTGATACTGCATTAATTTTTATGTGAATTAAATTGGTGAGTTTGATTTGTGTTTATTGTAATGTACTGTTACTGGATGTAATATTTTTATTTTTTAAAGGATTTTGACCCATTTACTGGCCGACATTTATTATATAAATCACTTAGTGAAACCAATTAAAAAGTATTGAACTAAAAATGGAATATCTAATTTCTGGAGCAGAAATATTAATCACTAATTAAGTATCTTCAAGTGAATGTTGATTATTTATTTTAAACACACTTTGATGAAATGATGAAGAAAATATAAGACAATTATAAATGGAACTGATTCATTTTTTGGGGAAAACTGTCATAATTGTCAGAAAAATACAAAGAAAATTAAAAACTGGTTTGAATATAAACATATAATTTTTTTAATAAATCAGAAAATACTTTATTTTCAGATAAATTATGGTTGCACCACATGACATTTTTAAGACCACAGCTAAATCATATTGATATTTTTATCAATATGATTTAGCTGAAAATATCTAATTTAATTTTTTATTTTAATTTCTGTGTGGTCAACATTTCAAATGTTCTAATAATTAAAATGATATACATATTTTTCAACTGAACACCAAGCTTCAGTAATCTCTCAGTTAATCTTTGTTTTCCAGATCTGAGATCAGAAAGTTCTGGTTTCCATCATGTTCCAGTTTTTAGTTCAGCTTTTTTCTGCTTCTTTTTCTCCACTGTCCACCAAACAGAGACAGGATGATTAAAATGCTTCATAGTAACATTCTCAGATCTCAGATCCTCATTGATCCGGATGTCTGTAGTTTCAGTCAAATCTCTCCCAGATGTTCCAGATGAGAAGATCTGAGCGTCTGGTTTGTTTGATCCAGAAGATTCTGGATTCATCCAGAAACCCAGAACAACTGGACTCCAGTCACACCTTAAACAGAACATTGTGTTCTAAATCCAAATGGGACCGCATGATTTCTTTGGACCTGAAACATAAAGTGCTGTGACAAGTATTTTCTTTTGCCTTTTTGTCCACCTGAAATGTTTCAGATCAACAAACTGATTTTAATATTTGATGAAGAAAAACTGATTAAATACAATAAACAGTTTTGAAATGATGATTTTATTCATCTTCAAGGATTTCCAGCTAAAGCCCAGTTCACACGACACGATTTTAGAAAAGTCGGCCGATTCTGAAAACGTGAGAGAGAGAACACACACTAGCCGATCTAAAATCGTAGGTGTAACGGGTTCGATCGTAGAGTGTGAGGTTTCACTCGGAGACATTCTAATTCCAGATACAAAATCCCTTCAAATTAAAATTCTGCGCTACCACAGCTGAATTTAGAGTAAACAAACAAACATGGACAACGACGTTAAAGTGGAAACTTTAGTTTGTGGACTTATGTTAACCCAAAAAAGATGTAACCAAAAATCAAAGCTTTTGATTAAGAACTGGAGAAATCGTAAGCAAGGATTATATTTGTTGCTTCGCAACATGGAGTGAGTTTTTTTCTTTTTTCATAAAAATACTGTTTTTAATGTTTTCGGTTTTGTCATTTAATTAATCATTACCGTTTACGTATTGTTAAGATTTAAAAAGAGGAATTAAATTGATTTAGCTCGTTTATTTATTCCTCTTGTCCCGAATTCTTGTATCTG